GAAGGGGGGGCGGGAAAGGGGGGGGGGGGGGGGGGGGGGGGGGGACGATGACAAGCATTCGACCAACCAAAAAAACAATAACGATCCGCGGTCGGTCAGTGCGGGAGAGCTTTGTCACGGCTGGGAGATTTATCACGACTGTGCCATGCCAGATAACGGTGGCGTCAGCAGCGCCAGTCCGCACCACTAACCATAACCCTCACCCTAACCTATGTGTCGCAGTATACCTGGAGGAACCGCCTTCGCGAGAAACTAAGTTCATGAGGAAACAAAACAGGGACGGGGTCTGCGCAGACCCTATTCCCTAACCCCAACCCAACGTACCTGATTGCATGCTTTTATCCCACATGTTTATTTTTTTATGGAAAAACCCTGCGAATAGTACCAACTGACCTGGAGAGTGGTGACTTGCAAGTCGTAGGACTTCTGGTACTTGGCCCGGATAGTCACGTTTCCAAGTGTGTGCGACCACCCCAGGCGGCGTTTGCTGTGAAAAGGGGTTTCCACCGGTGACGGCGTGCGACGATTGGATAGAGGGACGCCGCATCCATACACGGGCGTGTTGCCGCAGCGGCGGATAGGATACGACCGAAAAGGTTGTCGAGACAGAAAGGGGGGTCAATCAGGGATTGGGCGAGTGAAAAACGACAACGGTGAGCAACACCCCAAGGCGCTGGATCGTATCTTTTGACAGGTACTGAAAACCTTACACAAAAAAAATATAGCTGATTCGTCCAAAAATCCACACTCCCTTTCCGCGTTGCTTCTTTACAAAGCCTCTCGAGAGAGCTCGCAACATGCCCGACGAAAGACGCACATAAGAAGCAATCAAGAGGTGCTGGTAAGTTCATGGCTGGAACAGCATACAGGCTTCGCCAAAGCTGAAACTTACAAAAACTACGGAACACAAGAAGCAAAACATATTTTTTCCTCCCCATTTATGTTGTCTCGATTTCGACTCTTTCAAAACTGAAACAAAGAAGGGCATAAGCAGGTACTATCCGAGCTTTGCAATTCATTTGGCACACAAAGCCTCGTCCAACGACAATCTGCATCAAATCAAAATGATTGTCAGCTAACAACACCAGCCAAAAACAAAAGTTTAAGGTCCTCGTTGCTTGTGGAAGTGACTATTTACATTATACTGTAACTTACGATGTAGTCTCGGCGTAGTACTTTTTGAAGACCTCGGTGCACTTCTTCATCGTGGAAGGGAGAGTCACTTCCATGGGCTTGTACGCTGGCCAGTAGCCCGTCGTCAACACCTGCAACACGTCAGGGTACAGCAGTGGTTGAGAGGGTGCAGCAGTGGTTGAGAGGGTACAGCAGTGGTTGAGAGGGTACAGCAGTGGTTGAGAGGGTGCAGCAGTGGTTGAGAGGGTACAGCAGTGGTTGAGAGGGTGCAGCAGTAGTTGAGAGGGAACAGCAGTGGTTGAGAGGGTGCAGCAGTAGTTGAGAGGGTGCAGCAGCAACAACAACAACAACAACAACAACAACAACAACAACAACAACAACAACAACAACAACAACAACAACAACAACAACAACAACAACAACAACAACAACAACAACAACAACAACAACAACAACAACAACAACAACAACAACAACAACAACAACAACAACAACAACAACAACAACAACAACAACAACAACAACAACAACAACAACAACAACCACAACAACAACAACAACAACAACAACAACAACAACAACAACAACAACAAACAACAACAA